TATATTTCTCTCTCTCTCTCTCTCTCTCTCTCTCTCTCTCTCTCTCTCTCTCTTTTCCATGAGAAAGGCACGACTGGGCCCCAGTGCCATGTATGACAAAAGAAGCCGGCAGGCTAAGGGAGCCCCTAGAACTGCGCGGTCGCAGCTCCGCGGAGCAGACCCCAGGGATAAGCGGGGGTGAGGGAGTCCCGTCTGGGCTGGGCTGAGAAGTACAAGGCGCAGGCGGAGCGCGCTCCAGGCCTCAGGCAACTTCTGCAAGTTCTGGAGATGGCGAAGGGGGCAAGGGTCCCTCCCCGCACTAGGCCCTGGAATCCTGGACCCCAAATATTTGTGAGGGGAGAGAGAGAGGAAGAAAGACGCAGTTTTCAGATCGCGCGGCCTCCAGCCCCCAGCCCCAAACTAGAAGGTAAATACTTACTTCGCCTCCGAACCAGGTACAAGCTAATACTCAACAATACTGATGCCTTGTTTTTTTTGCTCTGTCCAGACCGCAACGCTGTAGCCAATTTAGATATGCTATAAATTTAAGAGGTTGCCATGGCCACCGCGCGCCCATTGGCCGCCAGGCCCCCTACGTGCCGCGCCACGTCACCAAATCTGAATAAGGATGCGCGAATTAGGCGGCGGCCAGACAAAGATGAGGATCGGGACCGCTTGAAAGTGGGGGAAAGTGCCGGCGCCTCCGCCACCGGGGAAAGCCGCTCTGCAGCGCCGAGGCCAGCAGCCACCCAAGACACCTGGGGGAGCTCGGAACCAGCGCTGGGGTGCGCGGCCCAGGGCATGAGGCCGTGAACGCCACCACTCCCCACCGCACCCCAGGCGGCCCAGCGCCAGGCCAGCGATCACCCAAGGACTTGACCGGCTGAGTCTTGGTCCGGACCGGACTCGCCCGGCGACTGCCGAGAGAAGAGGCAGAGCCCAGCGGCGGGGCCGAGGGGCCCGAGGGCCGGGGGCCCAAAGGGAGGGAAGGCGGCCCGAGCCGCCGGGGTGCGGGGCTATGATGGTGCACTGTGCCGGTTGCGAGCGGCCCATCCTCGACCGCTTTCTGCTGAACGTGCTGGACCGCGCGTGGCACATCAAATGCGTTCAGTGCTGCGAGTGCAAGACCAACCTCTCGGAGAAGTGCTTCTCGCGCGAGGGCAAGCTCTACTGCAAAAATGACTTCTTCAGGTAAGAGGCCCGCACAGCCCTGCCGCCCTCGTGCCCACTCCGCGCTCCGTTGGGGCAACCGGGAAGGGGAGGCCGGAAACCCAGCCTCCCAGCCTCCCAGGCTCACCAGCTTAACCGGGGAAACGGGCAGGTCACTGCTCTCCTTCTGTCCTCGGTTCAGGAAAGGGCCCAAGCCCGAGCGGAGCAAGACGCTGCTTGGCTGCCTCACGTTTGTTCCTCCAGGCCGGCTGGGAGCGGAGGTGGGGCGGGGGAAGAAAGAAGCCCTGACAAACTTGCTCCTCACACATCTCTACCTTTTCCCCCGAGGCTGCAACCCCAGGGTGCAAGTTGCAAACCCAGTTCTGAGAGAGGAAAGGTTTTTGCAAAGTTAGGGTCGGCTGGAGGTTTCTCCTACCAGGCAGAGTGCATTTGCCCAGAGGCGTCCCTGCTGGCGAGGCAGGACGGGCCCCAGAGCCCCCCTGGACAAACAGAAACTTCCCAGCGCCACAGGGAGCTCAGCCAAGAAGGTCTCCTCTGATGTTGGGGGGAGGAGGAGGCAACCTTTTCCTCCACATCCTTCCACCCCCAACTCCTTAAACATTTCCTTCCATGTTGTAAAGTACCAACGAAATCGAAGCTGAGAATCGGGACCTCCGGAGTCTATCCTAGGCTCTGTCGCCCGCTTGCTGCCCACAGGGGCCCTCAGGCAAGCCAGGGATGATCGATTCTCTGAGCCTCAGTTTCACCAGCTGGGAAATGCCCAGGGATGGCCTGGAAGGCTGTGTGGGGAGGAGGAGAGGGGGAGAAGAAGGGTTGGCAGCTCAGTCCTGCCCGCTTCCACCCGTCGCCCAGAGCGGGCTTTGTGAGTGCGAATTCCGGAGCCCAGGGTAAGGGGGGCGTGATTAAACACCACGGAGCAAGGCTGCTCGCTGGCATCAGCCTCTGGGCACTGGGGAATTTGAGTAGGACAAAATGTCAGCCGCGCCTTTACACGTGTAAACTCCCCGGCCCAGAGAACTGAGGCCCCTAATGTGGCATGGCTTGCAAAGCGCCTAATGATTTTTGATAAGGTGCATATGGCCAATTATGCTGCCGGATAAGGCCAAAAGTGACTTATGGCTTCTAATGCCCTCACTACATCAACGTCACCCAAATTCGCCCTGTTTAGAGACCTGGGTGTGAGTAGATGTGGGGCCCCAAAGTCCTGGGCCCTTGCCCTCCCCCAACCTTCATCTCACCCCTCTTTGTGCCAGTCTGTACCACCTACTTTAGGGGTGCCGGCCTTCCCTCAGTGCTCAAGGGAAAAAGGGAAAGGATTTAGACCAGGAACATGGGAAAGCGGGGATTTCAGTGATCCCGTGCGCTGACCATGCAGGTGTAGGATTGCCTTCTGGTCACATTCTCCTGCTGCCTGCCAGAGCCAGAGATTTTGGGGGGCTACAGACTTAGTCCCTGATTCCCAGAGTCTGTCGTTCTCAGGTCCTGCTGTCCACAAGCTCCTGACTAGCCCGGGTGGGTCCTACAGGAGGGACTGGAAAGCCTCCAGTGCTGGTGGTACTGTGAGTCAGCAGAAGGGTCCCTCCTTTCTGCTCAGGCTCAGCTCGGGACAAGGGCTCCCCGTCCCATTGCTAGAACCTACCAGCCAGGCTGATTGGCCCTACCTGGGCCCCAGCCGCCTGGAAAAAAGATCCAGGAGGCAAAGCCAAGAAGTGGTCCAAACTCGGCCTGCCTGGCTTAAAATCCTTTGTGACCTGGAGAGCCAAGTCTGCTTGGAGCATCTCAGATGGATCTGGGAGGGATGTGGGGGTATGGGGAGCATCTTGGGGGACCCTGGGCCTTCTGTTTGGCCCAATGCTCTAAGCCCGGTGGAGTCCGAATCAACCTGAATGAGGCATGACAGTCCAAGTCCCAAGAAGAGCCTAGGACATTTGTGTCACCTTTTGTGCTCCTGCCAGGGGGGGACAGGATTGGGGTTTCATTTGATAGATGTGGAAATGGAGACTTCTCACATGCTAGGGTGGGTGGGAAGAGGGTAGGGGCTTGAGAGGTTGGGACAGCGGGCTGCCCCGGGTGACGGGCTGTGCTGTGTCTGCAGGCGCTTCGGCACGAAGTGTGCAGGCTGTGCGCAAGGCATCTCGCCCAGCGACCTGGTACGTAAGGCCCGCAGCAAAGTCTTCCACCTCAACTGCTTCACCTGCATGGTATGCAACAAGCAGCTGTCCACCGGCGAGGAGCTCTACGTCATCGATGAGAACAAGTTCGTGTGCAAGGATGACTACCTGAGCTCATCCAGCCTCAAGGAGGGCAGCCTCAACTCAGGTAGGAGGCCTCTGCTCCTCCCTTGCCCGAGGCCCCAAGTGCCCTCCCGCTATGCCCAGCCTGGCGCTCTCTGCTTTTTGTCCCCTGTGTGCTTTCTGTGCCCACTCAGAGCTCTCCACTCCTGCTCATCCAGCAGGCAGTTCTAGGGCAAGGCTGGGGCATCCGGAGTCAATCCTACAGGAGACCGGGACACCCGCCCTCCTCCAATTCAGGAGCCTTTTGCAAGTTGCCACCTCCCCCCAGTTTGGAGCTGTGCAATTCCCCCTTTCCACCACTTTTGAGCTCCTGGTCATTTCTACCTGCATTGGGAGGACACTACTTGGGGTCTGGAGGAAGGAGAGAAGGAAGAAGATCCGAGGCCCGGAGGGCATCTGTACCCTCCTCCTGTCCCCTCTCCAATGAGGCCGGGCTCTCCAGAGGGCGTGCCTCCCCTTTACCCAGGCAATAGCTGAAAAGTGCTGCGAAGGCTTGAGAACGGCCGCTGCAAGGCCCAACCCCGCCTGGAGGGAGTGGGCGGGCGCCTGACCCCTGGGGGAGGGGCTGTCGCAGGGTTTGGGAGGGAATGCCGCGTGGTTGGCAGTGGCCTGGGCCGGCAGGAACCCGCTACCCGATTGGAGAGGCCTCGGGCCGCCGCTGACGCCGCTGTCCCCTTCCTGCTCCGTCCGCTCGCAGTGTCATCCTGTACGGATCGCAGTTTGTCCCCGGACCTCCAGGACCCACTTCAGGACGATCCCAAGGAGACGGACAACTCCACGTCGTCGGACAAGGAGACAGCCAATAACGAGAACGAGGAGCAGAACTCCGGCACCAAGCGGCGGGGCCCGCGCACCACCATCAAAGCCAAGCAGCTGGAGACGCTTAAGGCCGCCTTCGCCGCCACGCCCAAGCCCACGCGCCACATCCGCGAGCAGCTGGCGCAGGAGACCGGCCTCAACATGCGCGTCATTCAGGTGCGGACCGGCCCGAGTCGCCCTCCACATCCCCAGCCTCCTGGGCTAAGGGTGCGCCGAGTTTGGGTATAGCGGCAGACGGTGCGCCCGCCCGAGGTCGGGCCAGCTGGTCAAGCTCCTAGCCAAAGTCACTTGTCACTGCACTTCTCTGAAGCCCGTCCCCTCCCCGTTCAACGACGGCTTTAAGCCTTACTGGGGGGTACAGGACCCCTCCCTTCCTCTCATCATCGGAGCAGAGAAAGAGGCGACATGCCCTACGTTCCTCCTTCCTGCGCCAAGGCGCGGGCTGACAGACAAACGGCCAGAGTCCGGTTGGGGAGCCGAGGGGCCGAAACCAGAGCCAGGCCGGGCAGGAGGCCTTTATAAAGCCGTCAGGCCGCGGGCAGGCCGAGGACCAGGAAGCCCAAGTCTTTATGAGTCGCCCCACGGGTCCGCAAAATCCTTCACCCTTGGCTGGTTCACTGGGGCCCCTCTCCACCCCTACGCCTTAATCCGGCCAGCCCCCTCCTCCCCGCCCCGCCTCAGGGCAATCGTGTAGCAAAGGAGGCGCTAGGACCCAGCGGGGGGCGGCCCAGGCTGGGAGAGGACACCCCCAACCGAGCTCACGGCCCCCTTCTTGTCCCAGGTGTGGTTCCAGAACCGACGGTCCAAAGAACGCCGGATGAAACAGCTGAGCGCACTGGGCGCCCGGAGACACGCCTTCTTCCGGAGTCCCCGGCGCATGCGTCCGCTGGGCGGCCGCTTGGACGAGTCTGAAATGTTGGGGTCCACTCCATACACCTACTACGGAGGTAAGGGGCCCCTGGGACAAGCTGCCCTACACCGAGGTCCGCGCTGTTCTGGGGGCTGAAGGCGCAGGGCCGGATCCCCACTATCGGCCGCCCAGGGAACTCCTTCTATTCACGCAGGACAATAATGGACACACCTTAACAGACACACATCAACGCGCACACACACACTCACCCACAGATACCTCCTGGACGAAAAATCCAACACACAGGTTCACGCACCTACACAGTTATACACAGTTGTACGCAGATAAACACACCAGACAAGCAGCAACACACAGTCACCCACGCAAGACACACGGGCGCACTTCCTCGAACGCACACTTGAGTTCAGAGACCTCAGGAACACAAATCTAGACACGATCACACGTGACCACACACTGTATACTCCGCCGCAGATACACTAACTGACAAACACACCGGGAGACACCCACCCACAGGCTTACCCGCTCCCACCCGTCGCATCAAGCTGGGCATTCAAAATCCAGATGCACCCGGCGCCAACCAGACACACAGCCTTCCTGTTGCCCTTGCCCGTGGCCTGGTGTATTTGGCACCAGCGGGAACTCAGGCCCTGCAGGGCAGCGCTGGTGGTAGGGATGGAAGGGTCAGGATTCATCCGCCGCAGCTTGCTCGCTAGCTTCCAAGACGTGACTTCGGTTCTGCCGTCACGGGGACTGGGCACACGACGCCTGGCACTGGTAGCCGAGATGCCGGCAGTTGCTCTGGGCAGAACTCAAGCCCACTCTCCAGCCCCACGCACATCGCGGTTAGTGGTGGCTGAGGGCTCAAGGATTGGGCCAACCCAGTAATCCACTCTCCATCTTTGGGGCTGCAGGGGGCAAGGAAGCAGGAGTTTGCAAAGAGGAATTGTTCGGTTGGTGTTAACAGGCTCAGGCCTGGGTGAACTCTCTTCTCGGCCACCCATTCTCTTCCTCCCGCCCTCTTTCTCTCCTCCTTTCTTTCTCCCCACCCCCTCTATCTCTCCACAATTGCTTGGCAGTGACCCATTCCAACGCCCCCACCGAGGTTTTTGGATACCCCCTGTGCTATTGGGCATTGCAGCGCTCAACACCATCCTACACTTCCCGGACTTGTGGTCTCAAGGAAGGCACCGCCCCCTTCTGTTCCTGAGCCTCTGAATTTGGAGAGCCCCCCCAGAAGTGCCTAGGCCTGGGAGGGATCTCCCCTCCGAGTAGCCCAGTATCACAGGCCTGCCGGGTGGGGTGGGGAGAGGAGTGCGTAGCCCAATTTGGGGAGGGGCCACTTTTCTTAGAAAAGTGGGTTTGGTCGCAATACCGAGGGTGAGGGCGAAGTCCAGCCGCCGGGCGCCCAGGCAGACTCGGGAACGACGACACCAGCGTCGGTACAATCGCAGACCTGGGCGGTTAAATTTTCAGGTCTAGCCAGGGCCCCCAGAAATTGTGGATAAAATGCACGGCTGTGCTTTGCGGGGAGAAACTCTGCGATGGCAGGGCCCAGATTGGGGGGGGCTACAGACTTTCAGGACAGCCCGGATGGTGGACGTATCCTGGGGTCTCCAGTCACCGACCCCTCCACCTATCTTTGCCTTCTTCCGCACAAAATCTCAGCGGGCGCAAGAAGGTGGTAGGGCGGTACCAGTCCGGAATTTTTCCCCGCCTGGGTAATTAACCAAGGATTCCCCGAGGACAGGGCGCCCCCACCCATCCCGCCGCCTCTTTTACCCGCGCGCCTGCTGTTTGGGGTGGGGGCCTGGATATGCGGGTCCCACTTCCCCCCGGAATTGGGGCGGGGGTTAGGACCCCCCAACCCCAGCGAGGCAGCCCCGCCTAATCCGCGCTGGGAGATCCTGGCGGCGGCGGCCGGCAGCGGACGAGAAAGGGGCCGGGCGGCGGGCCTGCGGCTCCCCGTGGGAGCGCGGACAAAGCCCCAGCTGCGGCTTTTGTGCGCTTTTCAGACAGCGTTTGTTCCAATTACCTCCGGCCCGGCCGCCATATGGGCGGAGGCGGCGCGCTCCAGCGCTCGGGGGCCGCGGCCCTCGCTGGCTGGCCCGCTCGCTGCGGGCCCCGGCCGACCCCCAAATTCGCCGCTTCCAACCTCTCTCTCCCTTCACTTTCGAGGAGAATGGAATGAGTGGTTTTAAAAAAGTGATTGGCGACCGTTTTAGCTGTTGCCTAAACCGCGTCCAAGCCTCGCCTCCAAACACCTCCATTTGGACTGATTTCAGAGTTTGGAGAGGGAAAGGGGGCGGCAGGGGGCATTCGGAACTCTTCCCGGTGACTGAGACCCCAAGACTGGAGCAGGAGGCGTGGGTTTGCAGAGGAGGCTCCGGCCTCCGCCACACTGGTTTTCCCGCCGTACAAAGCGGATTATTGTCACCGGCGCGAGCTACGTGGTGCTCCTTTCGTGGGGTCCCCCATCCCAATCCTTCAGGGGCCGACCTGCGGGGAGAGGAGCACGCTGTCCAGAAGGACATGAGGGAGGGTGCTGTGAGAGCGGGTGAGAAACAATTTATAGAGAATGGGCAGGCGTGTCATCTGGAGTCCCTGTGCCTCCTGGATCTGTGGGCAAAACGCACATTTGTGCATCTTTCTGGAGAGAGAGCCCAAAGCTATCACCAGATTCTCAAAAGGGCTCTATGTCCCCAAATGCTTCAGAACCTGGGTGTACTAGCCAACCCGCTGGGTGAGACGAGAGGACCGAGTCTTTACCCCGAGGCTCCCGTGAAACTCTGGACACGACCCAGAGAATGCTCGAGTCCTTCTCCAGGTCTCCCAAGTAGCTGGCGCTCAGTTTTCAAGGTTTCGGGCCAGACAAGGCCAGTGCAAATGGTCGGACGCTGGCATTCACTCGGGCGGGCGCAGGGCTGTACTGTGCTGGGCTCAGAAGCAGAAAGACCCGGCGGTGAGGCCGCTTTGCGCGCTACCGTCCGGGTTTCCGCGCCCCCGGCCCAACGCGCTAGCCCCTCAGTGCTCCAGCTCATGCCCAGGTCCCAGCTTCTGTCCGGCCTGGTCGCCACCAGGTCTCAAGCATTTCGCGCTCTGGTCTCTGTCGCCCCTGCACCCGCGCCCTGCTCTTCTCCCGGCCTCAGCCTCCGAGTCTCTGGTTTTCTCTCTGAATGCATCTCTCGGTCTCTGGGCATCACTGGGCATATCTGGCTTTCCTGTCCTGTTCTTGGATCTAGTGCCGGTTTTTCCACGTGCGTCTCTAACCACGGCTGTCCCTTCTCTTTCTCTTGACATCTCCTAGCCTGTCTTACTCGACCTCCGATCTCTCCGCGGCTTGTCTCTGGGTCTCTTTTCTTGTCTTGCCTCCGATCTCTCTGAGTCTGGGGCCTCCCAGCTGGGACCCCTCCTCGGTCCCCTTTCACACTGTGCTCTGCTGATCTCTCACTGTCCGCGTCTCTCGCTCTCTGTGTATCTTTCACCCGCTCTAAGACACTGTCTGAAACCGTTCACTGTTTCTGCGTCTCCACAGCCACTGTCCCTCTCCGTCTCTACGGGTCAGGAATCTCTGACTAAAGTCTTGGCATTTTTCGCTCTGTCCCTCACTGTCCCTGAGTCTGTCCCGCCCGTCTCTGTGTCTCTCAGTTGGTCTCTCTCGGTTTCCCGCGTCTCTCATTGTCTCTCTCCCGCTGGGTCAGCCTCTCGCCAGCCTCGGACCTCCCTCTCCCTTGGCCTCCGCAGGCCTCTCTGTGGGTCTCTAACCTCGACAGTGTCGCGCTGCCCCCCCCCCATTAACGTCCTCTCCCAGCGGCCCTGACCAAGTACCCCAGTCTCTGGGCGTCGTCTCTCGGGTCCGGTCCCCCGGGTCCCCTCCCCCGGTCCCGGTCGCCCCTCACTGCCCTCGACACCTCTCACCTCTCCCTGTCTCCTTCCTGTCCCCTCCGCAGACTACCAAGGCGACTACTATGCTCCAGGAGGCAACTATGACTTCTTCACACACGGCCCCCCATCGCAGGCGCAGTCCCCGGCTGACTCCAGCTTCCTGGCCGCCTCGGGGCCCGGCTCGACGCCGCTGGGCGCGCTGGAGCCACCGCTCGCCGGGCCGCACACCGCCGACAACCCCAGGTTCACCGATATGATCTCCCACCCGGACACGCCGAGCCCGGAGCCTGGCCTGCCTGGCGCCCTGCACCCCCTGCCGGGCGAGGTGTTCAGCGGGGGGCCCAGCCCGCCCTTCCCCATGAGCGGTGCCAGCGGCTACAGCGGACCCCTGTCGCACCCCAACCCCGAGCTCAACGAGGCCGCCGTGTGGTAAGGCCGCCAGGCCAGATCTCCCGCCTGGACGCAGCCTCCCCAAACCAAAACGCCCGACTCAGCTGCGGCCTGGGGCTCCCTCACGGGTTCTCTCTCGGGTCCGCACTCAACCGGCAGCTGCTCCTCGGCTGGGCGCGGAGAGGGACCGACCCCCATCTCCACCCCGCCGGCTCTCCAGGACCCCCAGCCCTCCACCAGCGCTCTCCTGGCGGCCGCGAGCCATTTCTTGGGACCAAAGTCAATACTGCAGAGGGTCAAGAGATTTCAAGCACGCTCTAGACTTCCCCCCGAGCCCCCACCCACCACCTCTTTGGACCAAGAGAAGGTTGAGGCCAAGGGGCAGAGATGATTTCCGCCCCCCCCCTCTCCTCTGCAATCCGAGTCGCATTTTGTAATCTTATTTCTCACTCTGCTTTCCCCGTCTTTCAAACACGATGATAAGAAAAAGAGAGTGAAGGGACAGAGAGGAAAGGGAGCAAATTGAGGACGCGAGGAGACGGAGAGAAACGCCAGCCTGAGAGAGAGAAGATGGACAGAGACAGCGAGAGAAAAACACGCTTGAATGGGGGGTGTCCCTGGAAGAGAAATCCACCTGCACGTTGGCGCCGCCTCGTGGCCAATCTTGAGGCTCAAGGTCAGCATTTCTAGAAAGGTGTGGCGGTCTGGACTTCTCCAGCCTTGGGCCGGACCACCCCCTCTTTCCTTACTTGGACATTTATTTTGAGCCCGGAGGTCCAGGCCAGACTCGAACACTCGCCGACCCTGTTCTCCCACTGGGCAAGGCGCCAAGATTTCTGGGCTCTGGCTCACAGACCACCCTCCCTGCCTGGGGCCTGGAGGCTGGGTCGTCAGGATGTACAGTATTATACTTTTTTGGAAGTTGAACGCTTCTAGTTTCCTTATTTTGTATAAAGAAGAAACAAATAAAGTATGTTTTTGTGTTTACTGTTTATTTATTGTACTCTAGTTATCTGGGGTTGGACATTTATATATTTTTAAGAGGAGGGTGGGCAGAGTGAGGGAGGGGAAGCAGAAAAGGGTTTACCTAAAACACACACACACACACAAAAACCCCACAAAAAATCAACTTTTTTAAAAAGAAAGATTAATAAAAAAAATTCTTTTTTTTCCCCTCCGTGCTGTCGTGGTTTTCCTTTTTTTTTTGGGTCTGTCTTCACAGTTACTCGGAGTGAATGGAATTATTCTTTTCTCTGGTGCTTGTTTCTGACATAAAACAGACTTGATGGGTTCAAAGACTTCTCTTTGTCTAAGTGGGTAGTTCTTTTGGTAACTATCCGGTAATAAAAGCGGCTGCCATGGTTTTTTGACAGCTACTATGTGCCAGGCACAGTATCTCCCCATGCTTTATGTAATACTCCCGATCTAACACAGACCTGCCTGGCACATAGTAAGCCTTCAAAATATTCGATGCATGAATGGATGAGTGATTTGTTTGTCCCCAGTATGTCAAACGAATTCTAGCGTCACTCCTAATTACAAGCCCCCTCACCCCCCCACCCTACGCAATTCCAGGTGGAAAACAAAAACAAAATAAAGCTTCAGGCTGGTAAGCCCATGCTTGTTATCTGCAAGGCTGTATTAGGACAGAAGCACCCCCATGGAGAGCAAGGCTGTTGTTCTCTCCGCCATTCTTATGCAGGGCATGCTGTGTCTTTAGGTAAATCAGCTTGATGAAAATAGTGCCAGATGAGATTTAGGAGGCCTGAGGCCACTTCTTCAAAGACAAGTCCCTCCCTATCCACCTCAGTTTCCCTCCTCACAAAAGGCGTTGGAAAGAGTGCTCCCCACATTCCCTTCCAACTCAGACACTGCAGATAAGGGGGATAAATGGAAGAGGGTCCCGCAATTTGGACCCCTTTTCCCCAAGCTTAGGGTGGGGAGAGCTTGCCCGTGTTCCTGGTAGCAAGGAAAGGAAAGGAGGGGTCCAGGGAGGTGGGGAGCAGTGAGCCCCCATGGAATGGGCATGCACTAAGAACCCTACTCCTCTCCTTTTATGTGGACTTCACAAGGATAATGCGAAGTGGCCTGGCTTTCTCTCTTTCTTTTCCTTGTAGCGCATTTGTCTTTATCACACAAATGCTACTTGCTCATTGTGGAAAATTTAGAAATCTCAGATAAACAAAAGGAAGAAAATGGAATCACCCGCGATCTTAAGCACCGTGGTAATGTGGTTAATGCATTTTCTTCCAGACTTTTTTTTTTCTTCATTTAAAAACTAGAGATCGTACAACAGAGCATACAGGTGCCCTTCACATGCCCACAGCTTCACAGTGGTGGAGAAGTGGGAGTCGGGGGAGCCCACTCTCATGTCAGGAGACAGTTGAATCACCCTGGGAGGCGAGTATCAAGCCTCAGAGAGTGGTTCCAGGAACCAGATGTCAGGAGGGATGTTCATCTTTGGGGTCATGATCAGTACTTGGGGCAAACTCCCCACGCGTCCTTCCTCTGAGTGTTCACGAGTGACGGGCGTTGGGAGCAGAGGTCTCCTGGGAGGAGGATCTAGCTGGTCACTGTGTCACCTTTCTGAGCCTTGATTTGCTGCACTGTGAAATGGGCTCACAATGGCCTGTCATCCACATCGGAGAGAGATCATTTAACCTGTGGCTAAGGTACAGGAAATCTATGTGTCTAGGTTCCGGGTTCAATCCCCAGCCCCATCCTCCCCCAAATAGACAGACACACACATACACACACACACCCCAGCTTTCTTGGGGGATGACAAGGAAGACAGCGATACCCTTGTCAAAACCAACTCCAATCTATCCCTACTGCTATGAGCTCATTTCAAGTCCCCAAGTGCCTACTGGGCCCAGGGGCTCTGGGAGGAGAAATCCCACCTCTACCCCACCCTGTGGCAGTGGCCCTGCAGGTGTGCCAGTCATGGCATTGGGTGCCCTTAGTTACGGAGGCAGTTCCTCAGGAAGGTGGGTGGAGAAGGGGGCGTGTTGGGAAGGGACATTTGCCCCTGGATACCCACAACCATTTTCTCAAAGTGTAATCAGAAAACCATGCTTGTTAAACATACACACCCCCGGGCCCCACAACCCATGGCTGGAATTGCTGTCTAGTGTGGCGCCCAAGATGGTTCACATTTGTCAAGCTCCCCAGTTGATCCCAGCGCCCTCAAACTTGCAGGGCCTCTGCCCAACAGTCTTGTCCAGAGTCTAGTTCAGTCCTCACAAAGCCCCTTCAGGATAAGCGTTAGGTGAGGAGCGTTTTGCAGATGAGGAGACTGAAGGGGCCCAAGGGGTGAAGTGAGCTGCCTGGGGTCACACAGGTGGGGAGAAGCAAAGCCAGGTTTGAAAGCAAGAACTTCTGCTTCCAGAGCCCATGTTGTCTCTGGGCCCAGGACAGAGCCTGGCATAGGTAAGGCCTCATGCTGTATCTAGTAACTATTGTACATGGATGGATGGGTGGATGGATGGACGGATGGATGGATGAAATGCACTCCAGCTATTTAAGAATTGTTTAAGAAAGGATCTAATGAATGCTCATTCTTGCGGCTTGCAACCTCATTGGATTTTGTTTAAAACCCCTTCCTGGGTTAAACAAAGCTAGCCAGAAGGGCAAAGAGCACAATGAAAATTGCCAAGGTCAAAAGGCCTAAGGACTTCCGCTTCTTCATGCTTGCCCTTGTTTCTTTCTCTCTCCCTTCCCCCTCCTCCCTTTCTTTCTCCATTAATGTATCTGTTCATCTCCTTTTATCTCTTCATTGCCTGTATTTATTATCATTTAAAAATAAATGATTTGCAAGAGGAAAAAAAAAATACTCTGAGGCACGCCAGTAAGGAGGCTAGGCAGGCCCTGGCCGTGTGCCCTCCAGCTCTGGGGGAAAAAGGGACGTAGCTTTCCCCTTGCTGCCCCTGGGCAGTGATTCTGGCCAACACTGGACTTTAAAGCACGTGGGTTCCAGCCCCCCCGTCATGCAGGCCCCATCCCTATCCTCCTGCTCCGAAATAAACACCCTATAGAGCATGAGAGCTGACCCACTGTGCTTAGGGCAAATATTTAAAATGCAGAATGGCTGTGGAGGGCTCCTGCTCCCAAGACTTGTCGTGCAGTAAAAAGATATAAACAGAATAAATTACCTCTCCAGCTCGGATTATGAGAATACCCATCTCCTGACCGGAATTTTAAGTCCTGCCTCCCTCGTAGTGCCGCACACGGCTGATTTATGGAAACCCGAGCACTTCTCTGCATATTTCTTCTGTTCAGCCAAGTGACCGAGTTTACCCTTCCTATGCCATTAGCGTTATTAACACCTGGGCAACCGATCATTGCAAATGGGCCATTCCTGTGATGAATGAGAACCTGTCCCGTGGCTTCTCCTGGGCCGCGCCACCTCCAGCTTCCTCTTGCCACACTTTGTGCTAGGGCTCAGGACCACCCCCTCTCCCCCCAGTACCCACTGCTGAGCTCTTGGGGGGGGGCTTTGGGAGGAAATCCCTCATCCCAGCAGGTGCCTGTGGCTTTCTGGCAAGCACGCAGAAAAGGACAACTTTGCTCTTCTGTTTTGTTCTTTGGAGGATGTTCCCGATGGAAAGCAATGCTCCTGTGACTAGGGAAAGAAACGGGGGCTGACGGAGGGCAAGAGACTGGCCTAAGGTCCCACTGACTGTTTACAGCCGAGTTAGGGGTCAGAATTCAGATCCTCCGGCCCCTTGATCCTCAGAGTGTGCTCCTTGGACCACCAGCAGCAGCATCACTGGGTAACTGGGTAGAAATGTGGACTCTCAAGCCCTGCCCCAGAAGTTTAGAACCGGAATGCACACAGCCCCCTGGGGATTGGGCGCACAATCGGTTTTTGAAGCGTT